AAAAGGTGCTCATGCAGTGAACACTCCAAGAAAGCTCTGTCACACTGTAACGCTTCACTGATCTTATTTAGCGTTTCAAGAAAAAAGGTTTAACTCTAATATTTGCCAAAGTTGGTGTGTCTTTAATGTAGCAGAAAGAGGATGTTGGGGTCAGTTTGTGTATCTCTCCCCGTGTGTGTGATGGGACGGCTGGCTGGCTGGCTGGAGTGCAAGATTAAAAAATGCTATCCCTTATCCAACCGTCCACTGTTCTGGATTAAGGTCTAATGTAACACTCTGGTCACTGAGCCTAGATCAGCTGCTTAATTCTCCTTTATCCGCTCGCTGTAAAGTAATTTGAACAGAATTTTTTTTTTTAAGTCAAGTGTTTCCAATGAAACTGTTCAAGGTGGGGGGGTGATGCTCTTAACTCTTCTGTTTGCTGTCAAAGTATTAATTCTAAATGCATGTAGCTGTCCTGTGATGTTGAATTGACACTTGGTTAAGTAAGGGGTGGTATTCGCATAAGTACACAGCTTCTGAGGAGCATGTTTACAGTAATTGCTAATGTTACTCTAATCAGGGCTTATATCCACATTCCATGTCAATCCACTTACGTGTGCTCCAGAAAAATGAACAAAGAATGGGATGGTGAGACTTCTGTTCCTGAGTGGCACAGATGTGATAGATGGGCTTATATGTGGGAATGGTGCAAAACTGTTTTGATTGGCTCATAACTGTCTCCATTATATAGCAGTTGTAAGCATAAACCTATTAAAATGTATTTCAAAATTAGTCATTAAGTTAATAGGAATCTGCGTTGCAGTACTGCACATAGATTTAGTTCTTTTGTGATCTAAGATACTGTGACAAAGGGTGCACCAATGGCCTCTACTGCAAGTTTTCTAATGAGGTTCAACTAAACAAACTGTAAACAGTGAGTGTAACAGATGGATAAATGGACAGATGTTACTAACAGAAAGTTTACAACCTGTGCTTCCAATTAGGCCCCATCTGCTGCTCCTGCGTCCGGTACCTCCCTCAACCCTCCTCCAATGCTTCTCCTCTCCCCTCAGCATCTATCACTGAACCCTCTCCCCTGATGCTCCACACACTGAGTTGCCCTGAATGACATCAGCATTTACCCCCTCGCCTGACCTGGTTTAACCCCTAATAAACAAAGGCTTAATGAACGACGTATATATCTCATCTAAAAAGTAAGGATTTTGCTTTCTTTCTCACTGTAATTCTGTTTAAAATTTACTGGCTTGTTCCAATCTGAATAGTATGAACATATATAAAAGCAGGATACATGATTATTTAAGGCTGGCGTGTACACAGGCTATAGCTGACGGCGACGCTTATGCTGCACAGTGATCCTGAACCAAAGCCATGCGAATGTGTCTACATCATCATCATCATCATCATTCTCTTGCAGTATAATTAGGAAGAATCTAAAATCCCCTTTCAGCTTTTCCTCTCCCTCCTCCACCTCCTAATGTTCTCCCACATTTCTGGCAATATGACATGCTGCCTGCTTTCTCTCTCAGACACCACAGCCCTCCTACCTTGGCTGTTTTTTTTTTGTTTTTTTGTGCCCTTTTCGAAAGGGACCTCCATCTGTCCCTACACTCAACCTATTGTGGTGTCCCAAAGCCCAGCAACTTCCACAATGCAATGGGCGTGCAGAGGAGGGGTGCAGGGGGGGGAGGCAGGGTAAACACCACAGCATCCAGATCCCATTAGAAGCTCTTTAACTCCTACACTCTAATACTCTCAGAGAACTCTGGGAGGAGAAGGCCCACCCCTTATCCTCATGCACACAATGTCACCTATACACCCACTACCATAGGTAATGAGTCTGAGAGCTGCCCTCTTTACTCCCTTCCCATGTACATCTTTTTTTTTTTCTTTTTCTCTTGCATTAAAAGAGCAAGTTAAAGTATTGAATTGCTTCCACCATGTTGACCATGACCAAACCAACCCAGTCACAGTCATTTAATTCTCCCCTCGTCTAAGCACTACATCTTCTCGTAACGCCAGCCTTGCCACCTTTTATTGTTTTCTTCTGTGTTTTCCCACATCTCTTTCTCCATCCATCTCTTCTGTCTTTCTTCTACCAGCTGCTCCTCTAAGTCTGGGGCGTCTCTGTTTCTGGGCGCTCCACCTCTCAACCTGGGCACTCATATCCCTATATGCTCCCCACAGAGGCGCGCGCGTGTGTGTGCGTGCGCATACGTACTGTGGCCCAAGAGGAGGGGGATCACTGTGTTCGCCCCAGCTTTAAGGCAGAGGGATTACTGGCAAACAGACACTGATTAAAGCCTTCCAGCCTCCTATGGCCCCATTAATACAATCTTAATCACAATGCTTTATCCCTCTATCTAGCTCCTATGGATCAGGACCTTTTCATTTTAGTGTGAGTCACTCTTGTTTGGCCAGTGGATTAAGTGTGCTGCACACAGAAACTAGAAAATATTCACAAGAGAGCGAGAGGGGAAGAGAGCTAGTCCACTCTTGTTGACTCAGATTTTATTTTTATCGTTTTTTGTCACTGATGCCAGCCTCCTTTGCCAAAATGAATTAACTTTAAGTATGGCAGCATAAAAGATGCCATCATGTTGTCATCTACAGCATAATGTACATAAAAATAAAAACCCACACAGACCACAAATGTTTAGGACCAGAGTTGGAGATTAGCACCATTAATAATTCTCTGTGTGCTGATATCTGACAATGACCTCACTCTCCCCGGGGATTGAGCTACAGGTCGCGCTCTGCAGCCTGCCATGTCGGCCAAGATGGCATTACAGAGCATGTGATCCCTTCCCATCAAAAGACCCTCATGCCCTTGTCATAAAAGTTACTTGATAAACTCAATCTGTGTTTGCTACCTGTACTACACTATAAAGTCAGGGTTTTGTGCAGTACTGTTCAAGTTTTTTACAGATTTTTTTTTTTTTTTTTATCATTTTAACGGGATAAATGTTCTTGCACCAATGAACTACAAGTTGAATACAAAATACTAAACCTAAAAGACTTACAAGTTAGTAGCATGCCTATTTTTCCTATATCTTACTGAATTCTTCCATGTGACTAAATTACCTCTCCACCATGCCCCAATCTCCCGAGACTGTCCTGCATCTCTGTGTTTTGTAATCTTATATCCAAAGTAATATACATGGATTATTTCTATATCCACCCACTCATGGATTTTGACTCAGGAGGATAAGCCGCATACTCTGCCCCCCACCCTCAACACACACACACACCATTTTTGCCATAACAAAACAGCAAAGACACAAAGAGGTTGTGCGCCAGCTAACTCTGCCAGTACTTTCTCACAGGCCAAATGCCTGTCTGTGTGCAAAGCTATGTGTCATTCCTATGCCAAGGTTGACACACAGGGGCAGAGAGGACAAACTTGTGAATGAGGATCAACAACCTCAGTCACCTCTTCTGCCCTCTTGTTCTCTTTCTTTCCTTTTCCCTTCACCATCCCTCTCTCTCTCTCTCTCTCTCTCTCTCTCTCTCTCTCTCTCTCTCTCTCCTCACCCCCCCCCCCCCCCCCCCAAATTGTCCCAGCTGTCCGTCAGCCCCCCCGCAGTTCCCCCAGCTGTCTGCCCTCCCCAAACGAGAAGCCTCACAACAATACAGGTCACAGGTCAAGAGAAAGAACAGGCTGCGTTCACAATGGACCAGTGGCGCCCAGTAAAACAATCGTTCCCTTTTTCTCCTCCACCCTTTCTCCACTGTTGCCAGGACTGGAAAAGACAAACCTGGAGAGCTGAAGAGGGGGGAAGTCCTCTAGGACAATTGTCCCCTCCTTACAATTACCTAAAGGACCACAATGATAAACACACTTGAACACACCAGCTCTTGCTCTCACCTCTCCGTCTTTACACTCTGCCAACCCATTCTTTGTGTATTTCAAGAGCCATCATGTCCTTCAACACGATCATTAAAGTCAAAACTGAGACTTTTGTCATTGGTTGATGATACAAACGTTTAGGAACATTGCCAGTTTGAGCTGATCTAGAAATAGGTATATCAGCAAAGAGGGAGTAAAAATATTTTACTCCCTCTATGTTGACATTTCAACTTAAATACTTCTGTGTTGAGGTAACTTGTATTTAAAAAAGTATCAAATGAGTCCATTTACAACATCCGTATAACATCCGTATTCATAAGCTGTGTATGCAGAAATCTGGTTTTGGCATAAGGTAGATGGGGAAAGTGGGACATGTGGATGAGAGAGCGAACGGCAGAGACTCAGAAAAGCCTCTGCGACACATTCACCTGTTCCTCAGAGCTGTTTTCCCATGGCCCACAACAGCCTCCTGCCTGACCTGATAGACACCCCAGAGGGTGTGAGAGCATTTGAATGACATCACACACACACACACTCTCATCCTGCAACAGATCTCTATTGCATGGCAAAGTACTCCTTCATTTCAGCAAGTTGGTCTTGGTGCAATTTCAATGGTTTTGATATGAGTGTGACGGTGTTATTGTGAAATGAAACTAAGCCACTTAACATTCATTTTGTTTAGTCTGAGACTGCATTTACAGTTTCTTATTGTTGTTTGTGTAATTGAGGTTTTCATATAAAAATGTGCTTTCATATCAAGTACTGAGATGTTCTTACACTACTTGTGAGAAACATGACCGTAATCACTGCCATATTATGTGAATACACCTGAAACTAAATGTGAACTGAATGTGTGCAAAGGGAACATTCAAATGGTGAGTGTGATATGTGAGCTGGCATTGATTCCCCGTTAAAATATTAATAATTACATTAATTGGAACTTACTTTACGTAATGTGGATTTTGTTAACTTTATTTTAATAGATACCTCACTACATTATTAATATTTAACTGGTATCCACATTCATTAATGTGACTGCATTTAGGTACTCTCAGCTATACTAGGAGATTTGAACTTTCTGTTTAACTGAAATTCAAGTTCCGCATGACAGCATAACAGAAGAAAACACATGGCAAATATTGTTACTATAGAAATAGCATATAATATAAGAATATTTATTCAATTAAGTGCGAAACAGCAAAATATTTACAGCAGTACAGTATGGCAAACATTGTGACACCAAATGAAAAAGTACCTGAAAGACCTCAAATAAATAATTTAAATACAGGACAGCTGCCAGTGACTGACAACAAACCAAGAAGACAGTGAAACAGAAATTGTGCTGAGAAAAATATAAAGACATTATCAAAATAAATATTAAATACAGACATAAATAAATGCATTGCTTTTACGGTGAAAGGGCATTTGTTGTAGGCCTCAGTGCACAATTTAGTGGATGACTTTTTGATCAGTTTCTTTTGCTATGCAGATCTTTTGACAAAGTTGTCATGATTTTGTTCAAACCTGCATTTGCACCGAAACAACTGTGTAATGGTTTAGCATGGATATCTGATTTGGTAAAATAATCTATATTCACATTCATATTCACTCTGTAACAACTGAGGGGTTAACTTCTTCAGAAACAATCAGAATCCAAATACTAACATATAATCATAACAAAAAAGAATAAATAAAATATTAAAAGTTATGGGTGCGTGTTTGTATCAGGTAGATTGAGTTGAGGTGATGACTCTCTCTCTCTCTCTCTCTCTGAGAATTCAGTGCTATCCCAGAGTACTAGACAACATAAATGCAAAACATTTTCTCTATACAGTCAGTACCGCAGCCATCCTTTTTGTAGCAGTTTATTTAAGAGCGGGGCTTCTCCCCCAGACAGTTTCATAGCATTGTCACATTTCAGATGGTGCCCATCTGAGAGGTGATCAGGTGAGAGGGAGTGAAGGAGTCAAAGGCCACGTCCAGGGGCAGCTCATAGCGTGAAGCCTGAAAAAGTGGATGGCCCTGAGGCCCCCCTGGTAGGCCACCAGTTGTGGAAGTGGGATAGTGGTGGGACGAGAGATAGTGGGCATGGTGGCCAGGGTGAGGTGCGTAGTTCCTCTCTGACTCATGGGGAGAAGGCTCTTGCTTCAGGGCAAAGTTGCCACTGATGCTCAGGGGGGGAGTGAGGGGCCCATCGTATGGTGGCGTGCCACTGCTGCACTCATTAGGGGAGGGGTTGTCATAAACAGGCCCCTTAAATCCCTTCATATGGAGGAGGTGGGAAGCCTCCAGGGAGCCGTAGGGGGGGCTGGGAAGGCCTGGAGATGGATAGCTGAGGGAATGGCCAGCCTGACCCCCCATACTACCCATCCCAGGGCCTCCACACTTGTCCTCCAGCTTGTTGAGCATCATTGGACTCGGTCCAAGCTGCAAGCAGCCGGCCACAAGGTTACTGGTGGGCTGAGACAGACCTTTACACAGCATCTCCATAAATCCATGGCTCTCTGGAGACTGGCCACTCTCAAGCACCTCCGACAGAGCCCAGATGTAGTTGCGGGCCAGCCGTAGAGTCTCAATCTTTGACAGCTTCTGTGTCTTGGAGTAGCAGGGCATCACTCTGCGCAGATTCTCCAGGGCATCGTTCAGCCCATGCATACGTGAACGTTCCCTGGCGTTGGCCTTGACTCGCCGGACACGAAACCTCTCCTGTCTCGCTTTGGTCATCTTCTTCTTCTTAGGGCCTCTCCTTTTGGGAGCTTTTTCTCCATTTGGCCCAATCTCTTCCTCATCATCATCTTCCTCCTCTTCTTCCTCAATATCCTCACTTCCCTGTTCTGTGAAGGAGCGGATTCGGCCCCCAGTCAGCCCATGGTGCCCCCTCATCTCTGGGCTTTGCTCTCCATCCTGAGAGCTGCCGTCCTCCTCATCCAGCCAGCCAAGGGAGCTCACCAGCTCATTCACATCCCCACTCTTTCCAAATGGTTTGGCCATCATTTTGATCTGAAGAAACACAGTGCAAAATAATTGGTCAATCAACAGATACAATCTCAAAAGTATATATATGAAAATGTTGATTCATAATCGCTAAAATGTATATTTAATGATCAAATGGATTGTGATTGATCAGGGACAGAAACTAGAAGCCCTGCCTGTCTAATAACTGACAACTCATGTTCCATGAAATGCAGAATGAGTGCTCTCATTTCAGCACTGCAGTGTGGACAGCTCACTTGTTTTACTCAAGAGCTGGTGGCTCCTCTAACAACATACCAAAGCTACTTGGAAAAGATCATGTAACTTTTTAAAATGTATTATTATTATTATGATATTTAGGAATAAATGGCTGTTTTTAGAATGAGGTAGCTAAATGGTCCCTTGCTGTTGTGCTGTAGTCGCTACAGAGACGCTGTCAATCTGGGACACGATGGGATTTAATCAGCATATAAAGCTCAAAGATTAAATAGGCAACATACAACTCAACACACATGTGGACAAGCCGCCCACATAGGCTACTGTTAATAACGTTATAGAGAACTGGACTTGGACCGGGTTTTTTAATGAATGTTTAATAGCTTGTAGAATAATAGCAAATAGCTCAAACGTTAAAACACTGCATTGTTAATTGTTTTAAGTGAAACGCAAACCTCGGACAGATAATTTGCTATTGTTTTGATAAAAAGTGTCCCAATTAATTATTGTGCACTAATGCGTAAAAGTGGGACAGATTACTGTAATTTATGGATTCAGAACTTCAGGCACGCAATTTTGTTTGGCCTATATGCTACTTAACATTATTACAAGAGCACTGCAAATATAAGTCTTTTTTTCTATTCTATGAAATCCATGTACATTTTATAAATGCGCTTTAGTGGATTTTTTTCTGTCCCTTGGAAAGCTACACAGGTGCGCGTATAAGTGCATGAGGTGCTGAATTTAGTAGCCCAAATTTGGTTCACTAATAACATCTATTTTGGATATGTCTTTATAATTAATAATAAGCAAATTTGTAAACTCACCTGTTTGAATGCACCGCTAGATTTGCGCAAAATAACAGAAAAGCCTGGCTAATTTAAAAAAAATAAAACTTCAGTAACAAAGTGATTAATCCACAGTCGCTGAGTTTCACTCTTCGTGCATCTAGTGTCCCAAACTCTTCTGCTCCGTCAGATAGCCATGAGAGCGCGTGGAACTTTAATCTCCAAATGGCACGACCGGGCTGATTTTTTTGCCTTTAGCTGTGTAAGCCCCTCCCTCGGGCGCCCCACCCACCATCAATTCATCCAAACGCGCGTGGCGGGCTCGTGGCCCGAAGTTTCACCCTGGTAAATGAGTGAGAGAGAGATGCGCCTGGGTGCACGCGTAGACAATCTGGAAGTCCTAAAACACTGAGAGACTGATGAAGACTGAAAATGCGCGCACATTGCAAACACTTAGATCGGCATCATAAATGATAGTACACCTGGTATTTAATGAGCATATCTGATGTTACATTGGAGCCTACAGCACAGACGCACATATCTAGCCACATCCATGGGACCACACCCACTACTAATTTGCCAGAATCTTTAGGTTTTCTTCATCCTCTCCTCACCCTGCAGTGTTTAACAGATTTGCAGAAGGGCATCTTGTGACATGGTAAGGAATTTTAACTGTCACTGCACAAGATTTTTGTCACATTTTTAATAGCTAACAGCAGGCCAGTATGAGGGACAATATTTCTGTCCTCTTCACATCACATGTCATAGAGTATGATGGGTCACAGATTTCGGTGCAACGACTGCTCCAATTTGGGATGATGTTGCGAAATGAAGTCTTGCATTAAAGACTAAACGCGACATTATAGGCTACATCTCAACACTTCCAAATGTGTGACTAATAAAAAAAAACAACTGTTCTGTTTTAATGTCATGTGTTAACTATCTTAATCGATTGTCTATCTCTTCATTAGCCGGTTGGATTAGGAATTTTCCACTTAATTAAACACAATGTGGGTCTGGTCTTCGCTGAGTAAAGAGACGCTCTTCCATGTATGCACATTTAAGTGATTTTGACAGCTTAGTGTGCAGAGAGCAGGTGTGTGCGTTGTTCACCCAGTCATTCAATTGTTTTCTTCCATTTTTAGCGTCATATTATGCCCCCAAGTGCTCATAGTTATTGAATCGATTGGCGCAATGATGAACACGCAGGTACTTCATGTACGATTAAAGGCAAGGCAATGGGGAATTGTGCTATAATGCCATATTTATAAAGCTACTTGCATATCAATGATAGATTAACTGTCAAGACGTGATTAGCCTATATGTCGATTTTCTGTTTTTTCTTTTTTTTTGTTTTATGATTAAAATGCGGCAACTTTAGGCTAACATTGACAATAACTTGAAAACTTGAATTTCCAGCGCAATGCGTGACGATCTACAATGACAATATTTCTTTATTGTTTACACACTAATCGTGTGCCAATATTGAGCATTTTCTCCAGTTCTGACTACAAATGCCACGGCTTAATAAACGCCCGCCAGTCCTCGTGCGTGGCGAGCCGCAGCGCAGTGGGGGTCTATTGTGTCTCTGTCCATTGAAAGCCGGGGTCTCGCGAGTCGCACGTGCCCCCGCATTGATCGCATTGTGCGCGCGATTGCTCACAGCTGTGCTCGAGACTGAGAGAGACTGAACTTTGCCAACTGCACTGGGTTGGTGTGTGAGTGTGCGATGCATTTCCGTGTCTTGGAAATAGGATATGGTCACGTGGCTAATCGGCAACATCGCGTAAAAACAGGCACTTGTCCAACGATTTATTGAACAGACCCCAACAGATGGCTGGATATAGGAAGCGTTGGGGGTGGGGGCATCTGTTGCTTGGATGCTCACGCGTCACCGCTTGCCCAAGAGGATGTCTCGTGCTGAAACAGCATTTATCCACCCCGCTAACGGCCCTAATCACTCCTGGTCAGCGCACTGGCCATAAAGGCATTTGGGCAGAGAGGCAGAGGAGCCCCCTCTTGTGTGTGTGTGTGTGTGTGAGTGAGTAAATCATACATTGCAAGTGTACAGCAACAATTCTAGACTAATGTGATGTGCTCCAAGCTCCCCAGGTACATGCACCCCTACCCCCCCAAACACACATACACTACCCTTCTGTCCCATGTGTGTGAGCATGGCCTCCACCACACCTGCAGCCTGCATGGGGAATTGGAGCCTTGCAGTCTCCCACAATCCCCATCGGTTTCCCAAGTGACTCACTGACTGACTAACGAAGAGGGAATTGTGCCCTGCTCTCATTTTAGCAGTAACATAGATAGCCAGCCTTCTGGAAGAGGTCATGGTGGACACATTTGATCTGAACCAACTTTTATAAGTTTGTATGATTTTAACCTGGGTACTATTAAATATGTATCCTACAAATTTACTTTTTAAGTTAAGCAGTCCATTACTGACTTAACCTGTTCCTAAGATATTTAAAGTGTACAGCTTATTGTACAAGTATTTGTGGCTAAGAGGCATTTTCACTCTAGGCATAAGCCTAAACAAGTTTTGTTGAAATATTTGACCAAAAGAGTACCAGTCTCACATCAGTTATCTAAGTGCTGTTGTTGCTATTTATGGAGGTAACCCCCTTCCCTACAAAAAACAGTGCCACAAGTGAGTTGTCTCTCGCTCTTGTCCCCTGGGACTCAGAGTGGAATGGGAGGGATTCGTGCACTGTGCTGACAGATGGGTCCTTGTTTCTGTCTTTTTCTTCATCTCTATCTCCCTCTCCCTCTTTCGCTAAAACACAGACACACTCACGCACACCAAGACTGCACGAATACAATAGGAATTAAAGCTCTACACACATGCTCCCTGCACCGCTCCTGAAAGCTGAGCCCCTTGTAGTGATCATAAAAGATGGAGGGAGCGTGGATTTGCGACAGGGGATGGCGTGGTAAGGGGGTGGGGGTGATGTGGCACAGGATGGTGAGGCTAGAGAGATTAAATTATGTTGTTGTCAAACAAATTAAAGTTTGGTAATATCAGCCTTTTGTATATCTGTATCTTAAAGTTTTATCTGTAGCACTTTTGAAAGTTCAAAAAAGCTTCTCGAGCAAGTCTATCCTGTGCATGTACACTTTATCTGACTGTTTTCAAGTTATTTGCATTTTATTGCTTTGCTTTCGAGTGTGTGTGTGTGTGTGTGTGTGTGTGTGTGTGTGTGTTAAGAAATCCCAGGGCTCGGTTCTCTCCATTTGCTGCTTACTGAGGCTGAATATGGTTACATAGCAGACTTTCCTGAGGGAGAGACTGACAGGGCTACTGACTCTGCCGCATGCAGGGGAACATCAGTAGTCTAACACACACCCACACAGTCATGAATCATGGACTTTTAACCTCAGTTAAATGTCTTGATGATATGTGATTCTTCCACCATTTGTTAATTTTTTCATTGTAAAACATATTTAAAGAAGTCTAAATGTTAAATCATTCCAAAGTTGAATCACACACCAAAATCAGTGTTTATCTCTAAATCAACTATTTTTATCATTACTGCATAAATTGAAGTTTGCAATTGCAAGTTTTCACTGTGCCACCTGCAGCCAAAACACATTATATTTTTGCGCATGAACACACAAGACACATGATAGCTGTGGACTCAAAAAAGACGTGTATGAACAGACAAGTGGACAATTATTTTTATCTCACTGTGTGGGTTATCCCATGTTTGACTTCACACCAGCATATACATTTTTTTGGCAAATGGTTTTCCATGTCCATAAAACTATGATGTCAACAACTTGAGAGTCTTCTGGTTCGCAAAGTGAGTTTTGATAAGATCTAGCTGCATTTCATCCAGGCAATATGAGCAGATTGTTTGCAGCTTATTCCTCTTCCTTTAGGCTAATGGATTTGGAAGACATTCCAATCAGGCAGAAATGTAGCTACAGAATGGGAATCAGGCCTGAGGGCAATTCTCACTAAGTGGGGACAGAGCCATTAAACAAAGGTGCCTGTGGTTTCATATTCAGGATACTTTACAACCTCCGTCCCAGGACATCAGGAGTGTTTTTGGGTGTGCTGTTAGAGGGGGCAGAAGAGGGGGAGGAGGATCCATCTGCCATGCTGCCGGTCCTCTGGGAGACGGGCATATCCCAGGGGTGTTTTGGAGAGAGAGGGGCTGAAAGGATTACACCCAACCACTAATCAACAACGGTAATCTGTGGGCCTCCGTACAAAATCCCTTCGATCCAAACAACAATTTGGGACAGAAGATAGAACCTCAGTGTAAAGGGACATCTAACTGATGCTGAACAACCTGACAAATCCAAGGACAAATCCAGGTGATTTTTAATTGGGAGAATCAACAGTGGAGGTGTGATTGGCAAAGAGCCATGGTGTCTCTGTGATCAGGTGCAAGTGGCCCACAAGTGGCCCAGTCTGATTCCCAGTGTGACCATTATGCAAATACAGCAACTAGACCAGCTTACAACATAAATTAGTCTAACGGATAAAAGCACTTCTCCAATCAAATCAGATTGCAAGGTTTTTCTTAGATTTATGTGTTTATGAAATAACCAAATATCAGTCAATTTGTTTTAGCCAAGTTTCACAAACTAGTTTTTATTTGACCATTATTTACTTTTTCTTTTCTGTAGACAGAAATCAGACATTGGTTTGATTTCTCTTTAGTCGTGAAGATGCGCTTCTAACAGCTGATTTCATGTTGTCATAAGGTGAGCCCTGAAGAACAGTTTTGTCTGAGCCTTCCTTAGAAGGGCGGCTGTGGCTCAGGAGGTAGAGCGGGTTGGCCGTTAATCGGAAGGTCGGCGGTTCAATCCCCTGCTCCCTGGTTGCATGTCGAGGTGTCCTTGGGCAAGATACTGAACCCCGAATTGCACCGTCCCCGAATTGGGCAAGATACTGAACCCCGAATTGCAGGCGGCTGTTCCGCCAGTGTATGGATGTGTGTGAATGTTAGTTTCTGTTTGAGCACTTAGGCTGAGTGTATGAATGTGTGTGACTGGTGAATGCAGATGTAGTGTAAAAGTGCTTTGAGTGGTCAAAAATGACTAGAAAGGCGCTATACAAGTACGGACATTTAAGACTGCAGAGGCAGCAGGAACCAGTACAAGGTGCAGCTGCTGAGCTGTTGTCCCTGTATGTCT